AAAAAAAAAAAAAAAAAAAAAAATCAAAAGTCTTAGTAGAGTCATTAATAATTTTAATTAATAATTTTGAAGGCTACTGTGACATTGCTTATGCCTCAAAATAAATCTTTCTTACTTATTTACATTTATAAAAAAGTTTTTTCTTCTTACTATGAAAAAGCCTGTCCCTATCAATACTGTCAGCAGCTGATGTTTTTCTTATATAGACTGCAGTCTGATGTCTATATAGTACAACAGTACTGATATCAAACACCTAAAGACATTCTACTTTAAAGTAACAAGATTTTTACTTGGCCTCCCCTCTAACACGCAAATTAAGCCTGAGTTAAGTCACAAATTTAGATACTTGAGAGACTGCCAAATTGAAACTGTAATTTTGACTTAAGGACTAAAATAATTTTGGTGCCTTTACTGTAGTTCCCCAAACACCATCACAATTTTAAAAAACAGTGTTGAAAAGGCTTTCTGGGTTACTATCACAAAAGGTATTTTCATCACAAGCCGGCAATTTACACACACCAGATTTAGACCAACTGCTGCCCAACCAAAATGTGTTTCATCTACAGTTCAGTCACAGTAATCTTCAGTGTTACTTGCAACAATAAAAACATTCTCATTTTCTGATAGAGGAGCAGCTTAGAGGAATGCAACTTAAAAACCTCCTTCCTCAAAAAACTTTCAAAGCAAGTCAAACAGTGCGGGTTTCAATTCTTGTTTACCATAAGATCACGCACCTCCCTGACACAGGTCAGTGTATTTTCCTTAAAGTGATTACTATCCCCTTACATATTCTGTTCTAATTCCTGTTCTTACCCTTATCAGATAATAATCTCTCTTGAAGCCCACACAAATAGAGTTTTCACACCATGCCATAGACTTGGGCACGTCTGGTACGCTGAAGTCCCCCTGAAAGGTAAACGGAAAACAAATTATATTGGCTGCTTCAGGACCTAATGAGCTTTTCCATTGTGTTTTAAATTTGTGGTCAGAAAGTTTAATACTTCACACTTGACTACTTTAGCATTAGGTATATAAACTTTTCTTTTCTCTTACTCAGTAGGAAGAAACTCCTTTAAGACTCCAGTCCTACACATAGTAAGGTGTACATAAACATTACATCACAGAATCTCAGGGGAACTTGGAAGGGGCTCTGAGGGTCATCTACCCCAGCCACCTGAGGCTGCGGGATGTGCTGATCCTAAAACATCCTAGACAGATGCCTGTCAAGCCTCTATGCAAAATCACTGGGAGTTTTCAAGCTTCCTAGAGTAGCTTGTTCCATTGTCCTATCATTCTTAGATGTGATGTACTTTGAGATATATACATATACACAGACACACCAAATAATTCTAACATAATATTTAAACCAAAAAGTGGCAGAGTTAAATCCATTTACCCACTGAGATCTTCTTTAGCATCACTCCCAACCTTGGCTGCTCAAGGGAACCGCATCCAGCCAGACTGCCAGAATGCCAATTACCTTGCCTGGCAGCAAGGCATGCTTATAGCTCGAATGTGACTTTCTAGAAGAATTTTCCTGGACCAACAGAACTAAAGGACAAGAAGTAGTACAGGCACATTTTGCCTTTATACCACTACTAATGATCTTCAAGAATGGAGTCAGCCTTTTGGTTCTTGTATCTACTGTTTCCAATTATGCCCTTTCACTTTTAGTTACTTCTTCTTTGTTAAGTTAGCACCAGTGGTAGTTAAGCTATTCAGAAGCATAAGACAGTACTCATTGCGAATTGTACCAGGGATTATATAGCAAATATTAAAGACATTTTCTATCAAGGACTCTTCTACAGTCTAGTTACCCCCATCACAATCTCACCTGTAATTCATGGAATTCCCTGTCCTTCCAGAAATAAAGCTGTAGTTTCTTTCGTACTGCTACACACATTCTCAGCACCTCCTCCCCTGTATCAGAGTGCTGTGTAAAAAACAACAACAACAACAAAAAAAACAGCCCAACATGAATCAGTAGTGGTGAAAAAAACAAGGATGAAGACAACAGGAATATAATCCTCAACTGAGATCACAACTGGCAAACCGAAGAGTGAAACAGCAACTGAGCAACTAAGCAAACCTTCATGCTTCCTAGACAGCACTGCAGATCCTTTTCTCCTCTAAAGAGCTTTAACATTAAGAAATGCACACGGACAACAGTGCTGAATTCCGTCCGCAGACCAGAAACATTGAATACCAGCATCATAAGGTTCCCCCCCACTTGCTATTCTTTACAGACCTTATTTTGAGACCACCTGTTATATAAATAGACTGAGCACAGACTGTACACAAACCTTTGGCCAAAATGAACTGTCAATTCTAGTGGTCATCTCTGCAATGTATGTAACTGCACCATGTCCTAGAAAAGATTTACCAATCCTTTTCCTGTAGTCCAGCCAACTTTCAAATCAATTACTCAGTCGTGACCCAAGTTATTCAAATTACCCAAATGATTGAAGCTACATTTGAACAGCTCATGAAAAATATCACTTTCCTTTGGCCACTATCCCACCATTTACTTCCACTGTTTTTCCCCCACACAGTATTTTTACAAAGGCAAGCAATTCCAAGTCCCAAAGACCCTTCAACCAATAAGATAAGACAACAGAAATACAGAATTCTGGTGATGGCTTACTGCCCCAAAACAACCTTCCACCATTAAATGATTAATTTATTAACGGCATCAGTGTAGATATATGATGGGAGAGAAGGGGAGGGCAAGCAGCAATCCTAATCAGTTCTGAAAAGCAGTTCCACATGCAGGGAAGCAGACAGCAGACTGAAGATAATACTGACTGGGAGGGATTGCAGCACAGAGACAAGGACAGATAAACAGAAAACACCAGCATTAGCCAGGACCTTGAAAGCAAGGACAAGCTGATTTATGGGGAAGGAAGGGGGCAAAAATGGAGTGATACAAAGAAAGGGTGATAACCATATCAATGACAAAAAATAATGTGTTTAATGGCTATGCTTTCTATTTCAACAAGTTAGAAAAGCTTTTTGACAGGAGGCATCAAGTTCCAGCGGGTTCAACATTCACCTGCAAAAACAAACACTAATAATGAACTTTACAAAAGCTTATATTTTTTATGAGATTGGGTGTTACATTTAAACCTAGGAGTTAAATACCAGAAAATATTTATGCTTGCCTAATTACAGAGGCCAAGATCCCTACGTAGAGGGAATCTGCACATTACACAATACCAACTTCAGTCTCTTCTGCCTGGGATGAAGAGGGTGGACAGAAATTACACAGGTAAAGTGATGAACTGACTTTGGGGGAAAAAGAGAGCACTTTTGAGAAGACTGTAGCTGTACAGATGAAGAACCTTATCCTTATGGAACACTGTACAGGCTTGATCTGTCATCAACCAATTCCTGGAGGCTTACTGGGTCAACAGTTTTGAGAAAAAACTTGTGGTAGGAAAATTCAGAGAATAGACTGAATGGAAGTTCCATTCCCTGATTAAACACTATACAAGTCAGAATGGGGAACTGAAGAAAGCTCTCAAATAAAACAAAAAAAATCTTTAATATTTTCATCCCACGATAATAGAAATTTAATTTTTAGAACTGTACTCTGTTATGAAGTACAAGAAGAGGCCAAGGTCACATTTTAAAACCTATCGCCTATGGCTCTTATATCCCTAGTTAAGCACATGGACAGGAAGCCTGATTTTCAGAAATGCCCAACCCTGCATGTGTGTCATGGAGAAAATGTTCACAGAATATAAAATACAGCATGGCTCATTTTAATTTCACATGCAAAAGCCTCCAAGCAACTTGAAAGATAGTCCTCATTACAAAGCTGACCAAACATCTGTAACAGCAGCTGCCTGCATTTACCTGTAGGTCACAAGTGAAGAGGGATGCACCTTTTGCCTTAGAGACTGCAGTGATTTGTTGAAACGTCAACAGGTCATGGACATAAATGTTATTTTCTGTTTTAAACAGAAGCAGAAATATTTTAACTAAGTTCATTTCTATTTCAGACAAACTATTACAGAGGACATTACAAATATAAATAAACAGCTTTACAAAGCAAATGAGAACTCGCTAGCAAAACTAAGGATTGCAGGATAGAAGGGGACATTTTTCAGGCAATCTGAAAAAAAAGTGAGGCACAAATACAAGATGGCCACCTGATTGCATAAGCTCAGCTGCTGAAGAGAAGACTCTTGCACCACTTGTGACAGGATTGTGTGAAGGAGCTGAAAACAAGTGCTAATTAGACAAAGAAAGTGGGAGGGGAACAGGATGGCAGTGCAAATCAGACGTGCTCATGACAGAAACTCTTATAAACGCAAGCCACTTTGAGCTAGCTCGAAGTTAGCAGACAGTGAAAACTCAAAGGTTGGGTGTGTTATGGTCAAGATTTTGTACGCACGAGGACGCAGGCAGCAGCATTCTACACATGCTGGGGTCTGGAGAGCTGGGGCTTGGAGATCATAAAGAAGGGAGTTGCAACATAAGTAAAAAAAAGACACAGGAAGATAATAGGGTTAAATAAGCATAATAATGCCAAGCAAACTTAGAGCTTTCTCATGGTGGTAAACCAAGTCAGCATCTGCCTATCAATCCACAGTGGCGTTACAAGTTGAGAGCAAGTTCCCCCCACCACAGAGTATTTTGGACAAAGGTAATGTAAAAATGGATTGTTCAGTCTTGAAGTCAAAATCAATGAACCTTCACATACAGCACTAAGAAGTATCAGTCGTGCATAAGTTACCCGACTGTCAGTGCTGTTTCCCCAAGTATCTTTGGCTGCTTAACAACAGCAAAGCTGCCTTTTAACCTACGCTGCACAATGCTCCCCATGCCAAGTCAGAGGCCTGAATGCCAGAATCAATGGCTTTTCAACAATCAGACCATTATACAGGGGTGCAGAAGGGAACCCACTAGCCCAGAAGGGTGGAAGACAGTTTTATGCATGTGCCAAGGCTGATTCAAATGTGATATTTTCACTGTTTTCTTACAAACACAATGCTGGATTTATATACAAGGGACTGAGAAGGCCATGCTTGGCCAAGTAACTACACACACACACACAATTCACATAGTATTAACATTTTCTTCACTTACCTAACAAACTGATGAGAATTTTAAATTGGGAAACAACATGAATCTGAAAGACAGAATCTGTTAAAGCAACTCCTTTACAAGTCAAACGCACATGTACTCACGCACACATACACATGCATACCCTCTGCTCCACTGGCCTTGAAAAGATTTAATTAATCTAGGCAAATTGTTTGATATTCATTCTTTTTTAAAGCTAAATCAATAGAGATGAGGCTGCAGATCTTTTTTTATGGAATATTCCTGTATCTGCTGTGCAACCCTTCACCTACACCCAAGAAGCACCAGAAGACTAGTGTTTATAACCCACCCTGTCAAGGAAGCTCATGGATCCCTATGACAGGGTTCAATCATATTTTAGTATCTTACCAACAGAAGGATGCACAAAACTACAAGATCATTTGCAACAAAAAGGTGGTGTTCTGTGTAGTGATATAAGCAGTATGCTAACAGCTATGAAAAATGTAAATAGTCATAAGAAGTACATAACTACTACTTCTATACTAGCCTGTACTGGGAGGAACAACATGCATACTTTCATTGTATCTTTCATTCATGGTTCTCAACTGCTAGCGCTTTTATCCATACCAGCAGCATATTATTATTTTGCAACTGCATCAAAGTGACCGAATGATTTGTTAGCCATCACAATGCTTTACTAGCAGTTGAAAAAGCTCCTGGCTTTGCCAACTCCCAGCTAACCAAGAGCTCAAACTCTCATACTGTAGGAAAAGGCCGAGCAAGCTCACGGCTGGTCCTCTCTCTGCCACTCCGAGCAACTTTTTATTATTAAAAAAAAAAGCCCTCAAGGGATTTCAGATGAGCGTATTTCAGTTCAAACTCTCTCAGCTGAAAACACTGGAAATGTCCCTCCCAGTGCCAAGAACTGCCATTTCATACCTGTTGAATTCTTTTTGAGAAGTTCTTGTTGGACTTCTCTAGTGTCACTTCAAACCTGTTGCAACCTACCAAGAAGAGGGTAGAGATCAAGCAAAATCTGACATGCCCTTTTAGTGCAAGAGTTTACAAAGTAATACACTGATCTCAAAGTTTTAGTAATGACCAAACTAGACAACTAATACCAGAAAAATTACTAAAGAAGTATGTGCCTTTCTTTTACTTAACACTTTAGGAGATCTGAGAGTTTCATGTATATCCAGGTGATTAAGTCTCAGTGTAGTCA